AGGAGAGGGGGAGGCAGGTGTGTGGGAGGAGGGGAGGCAGGTGTGCAGGGGGGAGGAGGCAGGTGTGCAGGAGAAGGGGAGGCAGGTGTGTAGGAGGAGGGGAGGCAGGTGTGCAGGGGGGAGGAGGCAGGTGTGCAGGAGAAGGGGAGGCAGGTGTGTAGGAGGAGGGGAGGCAGGTGTGCAGGGGGAGGCAGGTGTGCAGGAGGGGAGGCAGGTGTGCAGGAGGAGAGGAGGCAGGTGTGCAGGGGGAGGCAGGTGTGCAGGAGGGGAGGCAAGTGTACAGGAGGAGGGGAGGCAGGTGTGCAGGAGGGGAGGCAGGTGTGCAGGAGGAGGGGAGGCAGGTGTGCAGGGGGAGGCAGGTGTGCAGGAGGAGAGGAGGCAGGTGTACAGGGGGAGTCAGGTGTGCAGGAGGAGGGGAGGCAGGTATGGGGGGGAAGAAGGTGTGTAGGAGGAGGGGAGGCAGCTGTGGGGGGGGAGGCAGCTGTGCAGGTGGAGGGGAGGCAGGTGTGGGGGGGAGGCAGGTGTGAAGGAGGAGGGGAGGCAGGTGTGCAGGGGAGGAGGCAGGTGTGCAGTGGGGAAGCAGGTGTGTAGGTTGTGTACCCAGCCTCCTCTTAGCTCCTTTCCAGGAAGGGAGTAAGTGTTCAGACTGAGCAGCCCAAGGCCCCTCAGGCCTTTCCTGAGGTTCACAAAGAGCTCTGAAGAGGCTTCCTGCCATAAATTAAAGTGGAGGGAAAAGAGCAAGAGTGCTCAAGTCCAAAGATATAGTAAAGTCCACTCCCTTCGGTATCAGATGGCCTCGAGAATGACCAGAAGTCCCTTCTAGAACTACACAGAAGACTTCATTTATTTACCCCTACATCAAATCAAGGCTTCTCTAATCAAACCTGCTTTTCCTTCAATACCAGTACCCAAGACTGAGTTTGTTTTCCATCCTGTTTTAATTCTGCCTTTTTTTTGGTTCCAATGACTTATATTGTTTCCCACCAGCTTTTGCTACAAATATTTCAAATATGTCCTGAGTTAGGTTAATGGGAGCTTGACCTTCATTTGAATTTCTATTCCATGGGAAAATGCGCTTTCGCCTAATAATCAACCCATTAAAAATTGGAGGCAAAAAGTCCTTATGTAATAAAGACATTACATATGCATAAAATACCATTTACCTCTTGGAGAAATGTTACCAAGTAGGAACAGTCCCTCATCCTGGGCTGTTGTGTTTATATAGACACCCATGGTCTTCATAACAGAATGGGGTGGGCACTGGTTTAAAGCAGGCTCTGCTAAAGAAACTGAAGTTCTTGCTTAATTACAGGCCCCCTGACTGCTGACCCTGGGATGAGGACCACACTGCCCTGCCTGGATTCCAGAGACAATGTCCAAAGCTTTACTAGCCATGCTTCAGTGGTGTTTACCTGCCAGTTCCATGCACCTACAAGTTAAGACTACCTACCTGTAAGAACACTCAGCCTGGTGGCCAGGGTGGCAAATTCCAAAGCCTTTTCATAGCCCTCGAGGCTGATCTGCAGCTCTGTCAGCTTGTTGAAGATCCGCAGTTCAATTCTCAGTGCCTTCATTCTCCGTGCTAAAGGCACAGCCCCAGCCTGAAGAACGAAGCATGGCAACCTTAGTCTACAGCACACACCGCACTCCAGAGGCCTGGCCTCTCCTGGAGGGACTTTTGAATGGCCATCGTGTTCTCACTCAAGCCTTTCCTCAACAGGCTCCTCTTGGTGCTTTGCCCAGATTGAAGAGGTTGAAGAACTAACAAGTTCTCAAAGTGGGGCAATTGAAAACAGAAAGCAAAGCTGACTCCCTATTGCTGAAGACAAGAGGTAGGAATTGTTCCGGCCATTTAGGGGCAGGGACCCTGAAAGTGAACAGTTCCATTCTTGTCCTTGGCAGAAGCAGGAAATGTCCTTGGTTCTCCAGGCAGGAGTGCCAGAAAGGAGCTCTGTTCCTACCTCCTAAATGAGCAGTCTGCGAGAGGCTATACATGATGGTGTAACCGAAACTCTAGTCCAGACACCAATACCTTCTGGTGAACTTTTGAATCCTCTACATTTCATGGTGGAAATGGGTTCTATTTGTTCAATTTCAGCTCATCTCTAAACAATTTCAGGGACTTGGAAGCCAGAGAGGGCACCAGAGCTGTGTTGAGACCCATTAAGGAATGGAATCTACCTCTGGCCCTGGGCGAAGGCATGACATTCTGGCCTGCTCTGAGCACACAGCATTGCATATTATTGTCTCCTTCCTTAGGAGCAAATCCATCCGGGCCTGTCAATCACCTCAGACCATCCTTTTGGAAAACTGAGTCACCTAGAGTCATGCTAAGGAGATGGCAGGGGTTGGGGTAGTTATCCCCTTAATGAAATAGTGTGCTTTTCCTCCCCAGAAACTCTACCTTCAGTGCAATCACTTGCAGAACTCCCACCAGGCCACACTGCCAAGCCTCTGTTGTGTGGCCTTCCCACTTCTCCTAAGTCCTTCTTTTCTCTTTTTCTTTCAGACACTGACCAGAGGCCAGACACGTTTCCCTGACATTCTGGGCTTCTTCGCTGTTTCTCTGAGCTTCCCTCACCCCTCCACCAGGTGGCTACTTATGAAGGACATGGCTTTCTCGCTTCCTCTTCCTCTTCTCTCTCCTGGCAACTGCCAAGATTTATAGTTTGCCTACCCTGTTTTTCTCTTAGTTCTAAATCCTTTTATTAACAAGATTAAGAACCCAAAAGAGGAAACCACAATTTCCCAAGTAATGCATGGCACCCAACATGGGGCTCCCCAAAGTTTCTGGTAGTGGTAAGGTGACCTGGGGAGTCAATTGCCTCCTGGCTGATCTACAGAGCCCACATATGAGCAGGTTCTGACAGTGTTCAGTAAATTATCATTTCCATTGTTTTCACCATTCTGGAAGGTTAGGATGTCACTTCATGTCTCTGAGCCTTAGTTTTCTAATTTACAGTGTGTGTGTGTGTGTGTGTGTGTGTGTGTGTGTGTGTGTGTGTGAAGATTAACACCTTCATGCTCAGGGGAGTGTTTCTTGCTCTCCTACCTACAATCAGTGCTTGGCACATGCTGAGTACCTGATCACATGTGGTGGAAAATAAGCAACTGAGCAAATGAATTCATATTCAAACAAGTGAAGTTTTAGGATGAAATAAGATAGTTTCCCAAACTTCATCAGGTGACAAACAACAACTCATAATCTCCCATACATGGACATTTACTTAATTAGTGTTATTATTTTAAATCAACTCTGATTTTCTTGTTCATCATTTGTAGTAAGAACTGTGAAATTGTGAATTTGGTAAGCTGGTATTATACATTTTAATTTTTAAATACTTTTTAATATATGCTTAACAAAAGCATGGCAAGATGTTTTCAGTGTCTACCCATGCATCCCTTTAGGTCATCTCCCACCATACTACACTAGTAAGTGTAGAGTACTAACAATGTGTGTATACTACAAACTATAAAGTGCCATACACACACAAAAGATACTATTACTATGCTGTATCATCCCAGCAAGACTCAAGCCAAAGAATAACTGAGCTACTGAGATCCTTTCCTAGGCTAAAGAGAGGGTAAAGGCACGAGCACTGGACAAGAAGGGGAGGAGGGGCCACTGGAGCTGCCCACATTGGCACTGGGGTGTGGCTCAGCAATTGAATCCGATGGCTTGCTTACCCGGTAATATTCCACAGCGCGATATCTGTGGCGGGTCCCATTGAAGAACACATCACCTGCTTCTTCATAGAGCTTGAGAGCCAGGGAGGGCTCCTCCGATCTCAGGGCAGTCTGGATGGCCGCCTAGTGGGACAGAGGGAAGGGCATCCAGAGCTCTGTGGAATAGGCAGGGAGGAGGATCCAGAGTCTCTAGTCAGAATTCTGGAAATCCTAGACCTAGTCTGGTTTGGGCCTTTACTCACAGGGCTGATAAGATAATTCAGAGATTATCTACCTCAAAGTTCCCCACTGTAAAAGGAGAGGATTCTTTTGGTGAAACTTGAGGTGATTTTTAGCAGTACACAGATAAAAAATCTGTGTATTAATAGTTAAAATTTTAATGTGTTTCAAGACAAACATTAAAGGTAAATCAAGTCAGTGAATTCAGACAGCATTGTGTAAAGTGCTTTTTTTATTTGTTATTTTTATTTTATGTATTTGAGTGTATTGCCTGCATGCACGTAAGTGCACCCATGTTGCACAATGTCCGTGGAGGTCAGAAGACAGCGTCAAATTCCCTGCAACTGGAGTCAGGGACGGTTGTTAGCTACCATGTGAGTGCTGGGAATTGAACCTGGCTCCTCTGCAAGAACAACTGGTGCTCTTAACCACTGAGCCATTTCTCCAGCCCCAAGTTAAGTGGGTTTTTTTTTAAAGTAGTTTTGAAGGTAAGTCTAAGAAAATTAAATGGTATAGCAAAGGTACAGATGTCATGTATAAATGGCTGAAATTAGAAATGAGGGTTCCACTGCAGCACCTGAAGACAGAGGGACTCAGAGCGAACTTTCCAAGTTCACATCACTACTGACTAGCAACAAACCCATGTGTTCAGTACCCCTCTTTCAACCTGGCCCCCCAAACCCTTAGCTTCTCTGGTTTCAGCCAGCAAGTTCAGAGAGTACAGTTGCCTCCTCAAGTGGCTGAGGGAGCAGACCCCTACCCACCTGCAGGTACAGTTCCACCAGCTCATCCTCTTGCATGAGGTAATGGAGGCGCCCAGCACCCAGCCAGGCCTCAGCAGCCTTGTCTCGCTCCCCTAGGTCAACAAATATCCGCAGGCTCTCCTTGATGCAACTGAGGGACTTCCTGAGGGACCTGAGAGGCAGATAGGACCCGTGAAATAGGAAGGATCCGAGGAGCTCAGCGATCACAGCGCACCTGGGAAATAACAAGCTTGTCCCAGACCACACAGAGATCAGCTCTGCAGACTGAGTCACCTTGAGACAGAACAGTACCTCCTCCTCAGTGCCTCAGCTTCCCCATCTGTAAAATGGGAATATAACTGAACCTGCCTTAGAGGGTTCTTGTGAGGCTTAAGAAGCATAATAAATCTAGAATCTTAGACAACAAAGTAGTAAGTGTTTGATGACTGTTTAAATAAATATCATGACATGATGGCCAACCCATGATCCCGCAAGCTTCAGGCTACACTGTAGTTTTGTTTTCATATGCACCTAATAAGTACATTTATATGAAATGAGTGCATGAGTGACCAGAGTGGTAACTTTAAGAAAGTCATGGGAAAGATTTTGATCATTTATTAAGAGAACATAAAACAGGGTAATTTTTTTAAGTTGGTACTTTATTATTCTTAATTATTTGGAAATTCTTTATTAGGTGTTACATAATTCTTTGGAAAAGTATACTATATAGAAAATACAATTCTTCCATGACAGGAATTAATGAAGAAATGAGGTGTGGACAACAGGCAGGATACAGATTCAGAACTGGAAGGCTGGCCAGAACACTGGGTGTCCTCCAGACAGCAGCTCTCAACCCTGGGAGCTGGGAGAGCTGCTTGGGGCTCTTTAAACATACAAACATAGGGGGCTGGAAAGGTGGCTCAGTGGTTAAGAACACTGGTTGTCCTTGCAGAAGACCTGGGTTCGAATCCCAACACCCACAGCCTGGGATCAAACAGCCTCTTCTGACCTCCACAGGCATTGCACTACATGGGTGCCCTTACCTACAACCAGGCAATACACGCAAACACATAAAATAAAAATAATAAATAAAAATTTTTAAAAAACATGTACGCATAGCCAAGCCATACAATCTACCATGGTATGTTGAAATGCCATGCTAGCTTGTGCCCCGAACTGCCTGGGAGTGTGGCCCAGGCCCTGGCATCATCTCAGCTCCCGTTTGACTCAATATAGCCAGGGTTGAGATTTGCTGATCTGTCTGATCCTTTTATGTTACAGGAAAAAAAAAAAAAACAGTTCCAAAGATGCAAAGTGACTTACACAGGCTACACGGTACACTGAGAGAGGATCTGAGAGTAGAACTCCTTTCTCCCGAGTCCCGGCCCCACTCACAGTTCTGGAAGTATGACTTACAGCCCACGTGTGTGACAGAGCTACCTGGAACTCACTGAATCTAAGTATTACAGTCTGAATCCAAAAATCTGAATTCTTAAAACGCACACATTGTGAACTCATGTACATTAAAGTCCAGAGAACATATCCTTCTAGAAACACTAGGATCAACACTACCTGGAGCCCACTCACAGGAAACCTTCATCAAGCATGGTTACCACCTGCTGTGGTTTTGATTTAGTGTGTTGGAAGCTTGATCATCATCATGGGGATATTGAGACGCAATGGGGCCGTTAAGACGTGGGCTTAATCCAAGATAAATGGATGACTGCAGGCATTGCCCAATGAGAGGGACTACATGGCTCTCTTAGGACTTTGGTCCGTTCTCATGAGAGTGAGTTATAGAGAAATGGCAGGCCTCTAGTTTCTTATCTAGCCACACATTCTTGCCTTTGTGATGTCGTTAGCCAGGAGGTCTTCACCAGAGTTGGCTCTTCAACCTCCAAAACTGTGCCCAAAATAAGCCTCTTTTTAAATTCATTGCTTAGCCTCAGATATTTCATAATAGCAATGGAAAATGGATTAATATGCCAATTCATTGCAGACTACTCAGCTGCCTTTTCCAATGAGGGAAGCAAACATCATCTTGACTGATGAGCTCTGATCCTTTATGACAGTGAGGCAGCTGTTGGTCTTCTGGAAAAAGTGCCTAGCATCTGGCCCATGCAAGAGCTAGGCAGGAAGAACTGTGCCGTTCCCCTACCCTTGACGTAAGATGACTGACATCCAGGACAGACCCTGAACTCTCTCAAGTATCAGAGTGTGGGATCTGCTGCTGGAACCATGCTGAGAGCCAAGGAGCTGCTCTCAGAACTGCTGCACTGATCAATGACTCCAAGTTCAGACTCTGGGGCTCAGGCTTTGGGTCTTCCTTCCTGCCCAAACGACACACACCTGTGTTCCCAGGCATCTTTCACCAACTCTGCCTAGGTGGACCTGCCTGACCTTTGGCCAAAGCCCAGCCTCCACTGATCCGCCCTCTCCTTTCCTATAGTAAGACTCCCACTTTGGCCAGGTGGGGGATGAGCACTTTCAATGGCTGTTCTTTCATTCGCCATCCATAGAACTTTAACCATCAGGGTTCTTCTTAGCTCATTTTGTAAATGAAGAAACCTGATATTTTTAATTTACTCAAGTTCCTCTGCTCATTTCTAAAATTTTGAACTCTCTGCTACTTGTTTGATGAGGAGGAGGAAGAGGAAAAAGGTGATGTTGGTATTCTTACCTAGACTTTTTTGAACATTTAGCATGCTCTAGGCATTTTGTGTGCATGATCTCAATTGTCACAACAGTCCCAAGAAAAAAGTGCTACTAATTTATCCATTTCACAAAAGAGAGAAATAAGGGCCAGTGGGTGAGATGGCTCAGTGAGCTAAGGCATTTGCCTCCAAGACTGAAGGCCTGAATTTGACCCCTGAGACTTGCGTGGTAGAAGAAGAAAATTAACTTCTGAAAGTTGTCCTCGGACCCCCACATATACACCATGGCACATGTGCTGGGACACACATGCTGGCACACATCCCAATAAATAAATGGAACTTAAATGTTTTAAGGAGAAAAATAAAGCTCACAAAGAGTAAGCAACTAGGAGCAGATAATAAACCCTGCTTAACAAGAGTCTAATCCTAAGAGTCTGACCAGGCAGTCAAGCAATACTTGCTGACAGGCTTAGCTATCAGTTGTACGAAAACTTTGCTTTCTTTTGCCATTTAAAGCAAAGTTGAAGTTGTTAAGAACATAAGAGATTGTAAACTTTGAACAAAATCTCCTCCTCTGCAAAAGTGGATGGTCATGTACCACAGGCTTAGGAGCAGATGATAGCTCAGAAAAGAGACTGCTTCCTGATTTAGGGTCTCTGAGAGCTGAGATTGATCAGCTTAATTATATTGAAAAACCAAATGTTGAAGGTGTGTGTGTGTGTGTGTGTGTGTGTGTGTGTGTGTGTGTGTCTTTCAGTTCTACAGAAACAAGCAGCATAGGATAAAAATAAAAGCCAGGAGTAACATAGTCTAGGCACAGATCATTCACATGTAAAGACTAATCATGATTCCACAAGGTCCCACTATATGCAGTCTCTCCTCTTCCTAAAAATAGTATTACGTGGGTCTTTTGTGGCACATACCACAGTTTAGACAACACATTTGGAGATGATTCATTCCCTGTCTGTTTCCTGTACCATTCTGTAAGCATGACAAGCTCAGGGGCTATTAAGTCCTTTATCTGGTTTCTAGCATACTTCCTGGGCCATAAGAAATGACAAGTAAATATTTGTTCAGTGGATCCAATAAAGCTACAAGGTCCTCATGGACCCCATCTGGTTCAGCTCTGGAACAAGGTGTTGGTCTGCATGTGGCAGCTAAAGACGGGACAAGACTCACCAAGACCCTCCCACCGAGAGACTGAAAAACTTGGCCAAACTCCAGTCCAGTAGTCACACAGAAGGCAGAAAGGACACGACTCTAGGTTCTAGACAGAGGGACAGCAAAGCATCCCAAGGCGAAAACCTGAAGAGTCAACAGAACTTTTCAGCACCTATCTACCCACCCTTCTACCTCCAAACTCCAGAGTAAGCCACCGAACAAAGAGCAGTTAAACCGCCAGGAAGGCAGCAGAGGGAAGATCGCCTTAAACCGGCAAGTGAGGCATCTGAGCTCTGCTCAGTGAAACCAAGCGGCATGCTGGGTCTGGACTCTGGCAGGCTGGGCAGAGCTGGTGAAAATGAAGTCAGTCTCACCCATGCAACCCTGCCTCCCAACAGAGACACATACAATATACACACCAGCCTTATCTACGCTGGCAGCTATCGGCCGAGAAAGGAGAACTCATAAAAATACCTGAGTACATGCACTAGAGACTAGGTGTGGCAAACTCTGGCCCACATGCCAAGCACAGCCTCCTCCCTGCTTTTGTGAGTCGCTCACTTGGAACGCAGCCACACTGCCATTACGTGCCATCTGTACCTGGTTCTGCAGTGCAGGTACGCGCCGGAAGGGCTGTGCAGAGACCACACGGCCCGCAAAACCCGAACATATACTCTCTGACTTTATTTTTTTTTTTTTGTATATTTACTAATGTTAGATGTGGTGGCTTATGCCTACAATTTTAGCACTTTGGAGGTGAAGGTTCAAGGTTACCTTGTTCTATGACACTGCCTCAAAAAGTTAAAAAAAAAAAAAAACACGTTTGCCAATCCCGATGTAGACTCGGACTGTGGGCATCGATAGCTGCCAGGGCCACAAGCAACACATCTGACTACTTTAGCTGTCGGTTTCAACCAGCCTTTCTGCCCCTCATGTGGCCCTGAGATTGACACATTGCCTAGCAAACAGTACGTGCTCAGGGAATGCTTTTTACTAGACCAGTATTTTCTTTATGGATGCTCAGATGCAATCCCTCACCTCACCCTACCCAACACTGCATCCCCTCCTACACTGGCAGCTAGCGTCTTCTCTATTTGTATTCCAGGGATCACCAAAACCTACCTATTATTCAAACGGCCCCCACTTTCTGTGACTACTGCAGTTCCCTCCATCTGAAGTACAGTTCACTACCATCACCCACTTTTCAAAAATAATACTCCTCAGGGCCTTCTCAAATGTTTTACCCAGATGACTTCTGTCCAACAAACTCCCAACCCATTCTTAGAAGTGTCTATTCTCTCCTCCACACCTGCCCTTACCAGTGTTCCACATGTGTTCAGGGAATACTCCCTGCTTTTGATTGCTTTGACTTTGAACTTTGTGAGAATGAAAATTCTTTGAGCGGAGCTGAGTTGAAGAATTCTGTCCATAACATCAAGACACACTTAATAAATTCCTCCTAGGAATCAGTGCCAGGAAAAATTTACTTTGACAGATATATTTGTTATGTTCTTTTATCAGACAGTCAGAAGCTTGCATGACTTTCCCCCTTTTCACCTCAGCTACCAGGAAGCTTAATGAGAAATTAAAGTGATCACACCCAGGGGTGTGGAAATACCTATTTATCTGTGTCTTTTAGGTAGTCTTTGCTCTTTTTTTTTTTTTTTGCTTTATTTTATGTGTGCACGTGTATTGCATGCATGTATGCAAGTGCAACTGTATCAGGCAATGCCCTCCGGAGGGTATCAGATCCAATGGAACTGGAGTTACAGGCGGTTGTAACCAACCATATGGGTGCTGGGAGTCAAACCCAGGTCTTCTGAAAGAACAGTGTTCTTAACTACTATGCCATTTCTCCAGTCCCCTCTGCTCAATTTTTTTAAGCTCCCTATAGGGTTAAGTGATTTGTACATGCTAAATAAATATAACACTCTAGCATGTTCTCTGATGAAATGGCTGTTTTATAAAAGGATAATAGCCTTCCATCATAGACATTTCCTAGGTACCTTCATGTCCTAATTATATCTTAACGTCACTCGTATAGGTGATAAAGCAGACGTGAGTGCTAGCTTCCTCCCAGCTACACAAGTAGGAATCTCAGAGCTTGTAACTATTGAATATTCAAGTTAAAAGACCCTGATCCGGGTCAGCTTCTGGAACAAGAGAATAAGCCACCCCTCCAGAAAAGTCCTAACAGCATGGTTCGAAGAACTGCCAAGTTAAAATTTTCTTCTCAAACTACCAATCCAAGATTTGCTCAAACTTTGTTGAGAATAGTGAGATTTGACTCTTTCTAACCTACTCTAGATGCCTCCCGCTCACCCCAGACCTGTGATGACCAAAACAAACCAAAGTCTCCCAGTCAGCCACCGGGAAAGGGAGCGTCTGAACTGCTCCTGGAAGGAGATTGGAATCCCCACAAATTTCATCCCAGAGAACTGTCCACTGGACCTGTGACTGTGATGGTCTCTGAAAGCCTACACTCCCAGGGCTTATGACTCAGCATTCCCTTGTAAAGAACACTTTTTTATGGAGTGTTTGTCAAAAAAAAAAAATTCAAGATAACTGAACACTGACACTGCCTGAGGTTATGAAAATATTTGGGATAAATGGGGACCCTGGCTGGGGATGGAGCTCCACGGTGGAGCATTTATGTGGCATGTGTGAGGCCCTGGGTTCAATGCTCAGCGATGTAAAGGGGGGAACCTACATGCCAGGAACTGGCAAAAACACAAAAAAGAAAAAGCAGAGGAATACAGTATCCATAAGAGGATTTGGAATCATGAAGGCCAAATGCATGTCCAAAGATAGACCGTGGCAGAATAGACATTTGAAATGACATATCCATATGCTATCTTTAGATTCAAAGACAGATTAGAAGAAAGTCTCTCCCTAAGGCAGGAAAAAGGCTTTGGGACTGTCCCAAGGTCCAACTCACCTGGCCGTGCTTAGGTTCCGATAAAGCTGCCCAAGGGACTCCAGTAGCCTCCCCTCCATCTCCCGGTCCCTGAGCTGCTGAGCCAGGACCAGCCAGTGTTCATGGTAGGTGATGCATGCCTCAGGATTTGGGGACACAGAGCTATAGAAATGGCAGAGGGATTTGGTGACCTGAAGCTGACCTGAACATAAAGCAGGGACACGAATGAGAACCGGCAAAGCGTGTGCCAGCACTTTTTCCAATGCTCCCAGCAGCTCAGGACATACTCACTGTTTAGGTGTTGGTGTCTTAAGCCAAACAACAATGCCATTTCATAACAAAGGCGGCTGTGGGTCAGCTGGTGTCCAGACACCAGAACTTGGGCCAACCAGAGAAGCACTTGTACCATTTCCATGTCTGTTTCCTTGCTGGCCTGGAGTTCAGAGTAGAGCCGGACAGCCTGTAGGAGATAGCCTCTGGCTGACTGCTGCATACAGGACTTGAGGATCAGGTGGCCGAGATTGGCCATGGACACTGCCTGGTTACGCACATTCCCCATCTCCCGAGCTCTAGTCAAGGCCCGGAGATAGCTCTTGGCTGCCCTGCTTGTCTGGCCTTCACCTTGAAGCACAAGTCCCAGGAGGTTATGGACCACTCCCTTTTGGGTGATACACTCCGACTCCCTCAGGGAGCACAACAGTGGTTCAAGGATATCCAAAGCCTTCTTTGTCTGGTTGGCTAAGAGATAAGCCCATGCCAGACAAAGAGAAGACTCAAAGGCTTCCTGCTCACCTAGCTGCTTCCCTAGCACCAGACCCTGCCTCAGATAGTAGACAGCACCATCAGGAGACCTGTGCTGAAGGTACATTTTGGACAGGATAAGACACAAGGTCCTCTGGGTGCTCAGGTCAGTCTGCTCCTCACAGGTCATCAGTGCCTGCCTGAGTGTCGGGCAGGCCAGTGCAGAAACTTCACCATAGCCTAAGGAAGGAAGACCAAGGATTTTGGTGGCATTCTGGAGGACCAAGTAGACCTGCCAAATGGAAAGAGACACTCCCTGGGCACTGTGGAGACCATGTTTCTGAACAGAGGCCACTGCAAGATGTGGAAGATATTTCTTGTTATACAGAAAACTCAACATGGTGGCTATGGTATCTGAAGCAGGAGGGTGTCCAGAGAGGAGCTGCAGGCGCTCTGCGAAGGGCAGAACTTCCTCGTGCCGGCCAAGGCTCAGGAGCAATCGGACGGCCAGAAAGCAGGCCCTGGCCTCCAGAGGGCTACTGCCCACCACAATCCCCTGGCGCAGCACATAGGCCACCACATCAAACTCATTCTTGGCACTGGACTCGCGGTCAGGCAGGCAGGCCAACAGAGCACCTGCCTTTTCAAGAAGGGCTGAGCCTTTATGCCTCAGCCTCTGCCTTAGGTAGATGGCTGCCAAATTGATGTACAGAGCAGTCACCAGGGAGAGGTCCTTGAATGCCCCATTGAGGACACAGATAGCCTCCTCAAAGTACACTCTGGCCTGTGAAAGCTTGACCTTCCTGATGCTCAGCCGGCCCAAGAGGAAGCAGAGCCGGGCATGGGCCCAGGTCATGTGGCTCATCTTGGCCCACTTTCTTGAGGCTTCTAGGTAGGCCATTAGCTCATCCTCCTCAGAGAAGCTATAAAAGGAGGAAGTAAGGAAAGAGAAGGAGAAATCATAGAGGCTCTTAAAGTGGTCAGTGTAACCTTCATGATCCAGGAAAGCCAATATGGGGCCAAAGTTCTCGACATCATCCTCCTCCTGACTGGTGTTTAGGTCTATGAACAGTTCTGGGTCATCAAGGTCATCAGGTTCTGGCAAGTGATAGCTGTCTGAGGAGGCTGAGAGGAGCTCCTCCTCCAGGCTGGAGCCCGCGGAGCTGCTGGACCGTCTGGAGCCTACAGTCTGCCACTCCTTCCAGGTTCCACCAGGCCTGGCCTCCTTGAAGCCCTCAGGCTGGGATGCTGTAAGGACAGGCAGAGCTGAGCATCCCTGAGTGCCAGCAACTATGGCAGTCAGCTCCTGCCAAAAGGGCAGATGTGCTGACCTGAGGACAAGAAGCCAGGCTCAGCCCAAACACTACTCACCGCTCAGATCGTTCGGCAGATTCTGGATGGATTCAGACTCACCTAGGTAGAGATGAAGGACAGATCTAGTATTAGGCCAGCACAAGTTACTTTGTCAAAGCCTCAGGGCCCCAGGCCACTGACCCCTGAGAAGCTTTTGTGTTCAACTTTGAGACCATCAGTCAGCATAGGAATGGGCAGTATTCACCCACTTCACATTCGTTTTAGAGTTTCATGGACTCCATCAACCTGTTTAACTCACACACTTTACATCTCTGAACTGGAGTAAAAGTGAGACCGAAGTCAGAGAAGAAAATGTGGAAACAAGCTGTACACCAAGAGGTATGGGGATGAGGGTGGTGATAAAAACTAAGCCAGGGAGATGCAGTTCCCAAAGCTCTCAGTGAGTTTACAATACAGCCAGGCAGAACCCTGAGCACATGGTACTTCAGACTGTGATGCTGCCCCCTGTTCATGGTCATGCTCCTCTTCCTCCGTTCCCTTATCCTTCCTGCTTCCTTCCTCCGGTCGCTCATCCTTCCTCCATTAACCCATCATCCATCCATTTGACAAACTGGTTTAATGTGCTGGAAACTGCATTGCAGAAGTTGTAAGACTATAAAAGTGAACAGTTTAAAGGAGCAAGGATGCATTTGAGGTCCCTAGGTTTGTTCCCTCAAGTAAGCTGATGGATTGAGGTAGAGAACAGGAGTTAAGTGTAGGTTTAGGTATTTTGACTTTGAGTTAGTTGCAGCTGTGGGTGGAGAATGAAGTAGGTCTTGAGCCAAGGAGGAAAGTGGAAACTACAAATACAGATTGTGTTCCATAGCAAGTCACAAGGAGCTAGTCCAAGTGCCAGGACTGATATGATCACACAGGTGAAGTACTTTAAAAGGAAGGGGAGAGAAGGGGGCAGGGAGGGAGGAGGGAGG